AATATGTTAAAAAGCACAGAAATGTAATGTTAAATTAACACTCACCTTGTCAACGTATGCCAACGTATATTTAACTTTTTAACACCCACATACGTTGACTACTAAGCGAATGTGTTAATTTAACATTGTATTTCTGTACTTTTGAACACACTAGACTAACATAGACGCGCGCTCGCTTTTTAGCTAATTACTAAAAGAAAAGATAGTACTATGGCCTTTGTAAGTAGTATGACTCCTCTTAAGAGGATCCTGGAGTCGTCCTGTTTTACTGAAAATTCGTTAGTATTATATTCGTTACTGACTATACAGAATTAAATATTCTCTTGCATAAGTACAATATACACGGTAATGCAGGCGAGGACGGTTGACTTTATTCCAAAAATAAAAGAAAGTTATCAAATTATAAAACTTTCAAATTATGAAACTATCAAATTATAGAACTTTCTCCTTTTGATATCAATCATTGTCATCCCGCCGTTACGCAATGGCGCTAATATGCCAACATACAATAGCCGGCATTATTAAGATACATTTTTACTTGAACATTTCAAAACTTTTTCAAGATATATTTTAACATTTAATTGTATATATTCCTCATTTTTCTCAAATTTGAGCATATTAATATATGTACGTTCAAGTGTTTCGTTTGTTATTTTACATTTCATTCAATCATACAGATTTCGATTTATGCAAAATTAAACAATATGGCATTTTATTAATATGGTCTCCTAAGAGTGCTGATAATATGACCTCTTTTTCAAGGCTTTCATATCGAAGTAGTTATTCGATAAATCGATTCTAATCTATGATTCACCGTTGCGTTTCTTCACTGTTGTCTCTCTGACAGATTGTACCTTCTATTGACAAATAAGTCAATATCTACATTAGAAATTCACGGTTTTATTCATCGTTACTTCTTCTAAGAGTTTATTTTGAACACACGTATAATTTTGTAACGAAACACTATGTTATTTTAAACGAAACCAATTGTTTAAATCTATTTAGTTGAGGGTCACATTATCATCCCTGGTTCTCTTCAACCCATCATGCAGTGTCGCCATATTTGGATGAACAACGTCCTAAGTGATAAACATTTCCTGACTTTGAGAGAGCATAAAATTATATTTGTCCGCAGCGACCTTTTATCAACGACGAGACGTATTTAATTCTCTTCGTCCTAAAGGCTTTCTCGAAATCCAAAAGATCCGTTTTCGTATTCAAAAGTGTTTCGCGAGATGTTACGTGAAATGCAGTCGAAAATGTCCAATTCTCGGATTTTTCGATCCCGTATGATCCGTTATTCCGAGATGCTCGCTTTTTTTTCGGAAGCCGGGGACGTGATCGGACTCAATCCGAGTCGCTCAAGGCCGAAGCTCGAAAACTCGACAAACCCCAATTCGACACCGTCGACGACGAAAACCGAGGGGAGAATTCGCGCCGACCGGCGCGATTTAGAGTGTGCTAAGCAGCGGCGTACACGTAACCGAAGGTGCGCGCATACCTGGTTTATTGATTATCGTGCCGTGGAGAGCTTCCTGACGGAATATCCCGAGTCTGGACAAAGACCTTAACTCGAATGCAGTTCGTTCGCCCGCTGCTCTGTCCGCGTTTCATTGTCTCGTTTTTCCGTCCCTTCTACGCTGCCGGGGTGGAAGGGGGAGGAGGGTAACGCTCGACTCCGCGGAGACTATACCCGGCGCACTAAATTTAGCCGGCATCCGGGAAATCTGATTTCCAATCGTAGTCGCCGGGCGCAAAACCGAACGCGGGACGATTATGCATTTCGCCGCGGCGGCAGGTGACAGTCAGTTACGCGCATATCCCGTGTAAAGCTGATTCCGCGCGATTTACATCTCTGAATAATGCAGAACTTTTAATTAACGCCGTTTTCTAACAGTCCGGAACAAATATCTCGCCAGATGAAGCCGGATTCATCATGAATTCACGCGCAATCTCTCAATTTCTATTTAGCACCGTTCATCATGCGCGTATTCGCGTTCGGAGGCTTGCTGTTAAAAAGGAAAAAAATAATAATAATAAATACATATACATCGGCAAACAAAAACGCACGCTCTGTTTTTTTTTTTTTTTTTTTTTTNGCGGTAAATACGAGATGTTCATTTGCTTTCCGATATATCGTTAACAAATTTAGAATCTGTTCGTCGAGAGAGCGTCAGATTTTATCTCGTTCAATTATCGTGGATGAAATTTGAAATTTGAACGTGTTCCTTTTATTCATCCGCGTTTCCTTTCTTTCGTAAATTCATCGTATTCACGTATATTGTCCGTGCGATACACACTGCAATATACGATGCATCCCGTAGTGTATTTTTAATCTATTTATTCGCATTTAACGAAGCGTGCTTTGGAATACACTTTCCGAGCTCTATGTATCAAGCACCGTGCAATCGCGCTAATGTTTTTAGGTCGTGAGATTAAATTTTTGTTTTAAACTCCGCTATACCGCCTGTAGCGCGTAGGGACGATACGTAAAGAAAAAATCTCTTTTTTTTTTCCTCTCGTCACACCCGCACACGAGCGCACACGGTTCGTTACGTTTCTAGTTCCTATTCAGCGAATTATACGCCGTGGAGAAGATTGCCGATATTCTCGACAGGTAACGAATGTAATCGCGAAAAATGTGGCGCGATTTTCGCGCATAATAACTTTAAGCGAAACACTCGGAACGTGTGAAATCAGCGAAATTTTAAAAAGGTCGCTCGCGAAGAATTAAATAAACACGGCGGTTCGTGAAAGGAATTTTAATTGATATTTTGAATTAATCAACGAACGAGACGAGGAAAAAATTTGTTTGGTCCGGAACTTTTGACCGCCACTTATATGGACTAGCAAGCTGAAAAGGTAAGAGCATTAACTATCACACGCATTTTAACAATGCGCAACAATTTAATTAAAAATTAAATTCTAAACAAACTGAAATTACTAGTCGAGGGAGAAAATTGCATATATTAAGAAGTATTAAGTTGCGAGTTACTTATATAAATTATGAATTATATGATTGTAATCGTACAATCTGCGATAGCAGCTGAGGAGATATTTGATCAAACACATCTCAACAATCATTTTAAAATTAAATGTTAATCTGTTATACAAACATACACACTCATACATAAACATAATGTAAAAACTCATATATAAATTAATAATAATTTATACACATATACGTATAATAATATAATAATAATAATTTATACATATATACGTATATTCACGTCTCAATTTCAAATCTATATTCATCTCGAATTTATCATCGCGCATAATATAATTTTCTTAATACAATAATTATTCATATAACGCATTATCTCTACATGAATATTTGATTAGCGATTAAATATCGCGAAACAAAATTGATGCAATGCTGAAATTGTCTCCTTTTTTTCTTTTTACACAATGTACACAATGTGTCGGCATCGACGCAAACATCACGTTTCGAACGCGAAAGAGGAAAATAACCCGTTTCGTGAGCGTTCGGTGGCAAAACTTGTCGAACAACCCTTGAGGTTTGACATAATCTCGCGCTCTCATCGCACCGATATCAACGTCCGTCCTTCCATACCTCAAAATATTATTTTAGTAAATAAACAGACTCGTTGTTCGCGTAAACTCTTGTGATTCACAATGAAATATGATTACAGAACAAGTCAGCCTTATCGAGGCGAGATATTCAGCTACGTCAATATTATTTCGATAATAAACGTGATTAAATCTGATAAAGGTGAGCATCTTCGCATACACATTCACGCGCTAAATCTGTCTCGTTTAAAGCAGATTTACGCTAAGTTACATTTACGCTACGTTACAGAGTAATTTCATCGCAAGATACACGTTGAACAACAATCACATTTACATCAACAAGTAGTTTCTGAACGCTCTGAGTTTTAATAATGAATTTTTTGAATATATTTGGAAGAAATGATTCGATCAGAAGGAAATTAACTTCGAATCGAGCGAGAAAATTGTGTGAAAATTTAGCGCGTCTGAAGTTGAAAGCTCCATTAAGCATTCGTAAACGTTACACGTGCTTACGGTCATTCATGAACGTTCCGTCGCGTTAAAAAGTATTATCCTAGATTTCGCATTTTTCATTGTAATGTTTATCTCAGACAAGACAGATAATGAAATAATTGCGTATAGATACATATCTTATTGATACAACGAAATATGTAATCGTACGCCCCGCGCACTATATATGGGACATACGTGTATAGAAACTCTACCTGGACGGAATTATATAATTCACGTTATAAAAGAGAAAAGGTGAGTTTACTCTATGACAGTAGATCTTACGCAGGTGTCCGAGAAGTTCTCTCTATTAGTCCGGAAATAAACACTCGTCCCAACGCGAAACGTAAGTGTACGAGTACTTAAATTTATAGGAAGAGTCATAATTCGCAGGTGAGCAATTTGTAAATTTTTCTTCTGGTTACGTGGTAAAGAAAGGTTTAAAAAATTTGCAAAGTTGCTTCCTCCACCCGTGTGTTTTACGATTTTACTTCGTACCTCACTAAATATCTCCCGATTATATGGAACAAATATTTCGTGCGACTTAGTTTATTCTTGGAGAGTTGAAGGACTAAGAAAAAATTGTTGATGATAACAGCTCGATAATATCTCGTAAATATATATTTCAAGTTTGTAATTGCGTTCTTAACGGCCACTGGAATGATAGCACGAGAATAGTATTATTTCCACGGAAAACGCGAAATGATCTTTTAAAAGTAGCCGTATTTTTCTATTGAAGAATCGTTACGTAATTATTTATACTGCTGATTTGCTTCTTCATTCTTTCTCGGAATAAAATGTGCCGTTTTCAGAAAAGTTAGCCGTATTTCTTTCAAGCAAGATTCTTACATAATTATTTACATTACGAACACTTGTGCACTGACGCGTTGCAGTGACACATGTACTGCAAGGTTACCATGCCGCCGCCGCCGCCGCAGATTATAAATAATTACGTTAACAACTGTCCGTAATTTCAGTCTATTTGGAGAGTCGGTCGGAGGTGTTCGTGGAGACTGGTAAGAAAGTTACTTGCTTAACGTTTATATCGTAATAATTTTAATCTAGTTCTCACGTTCATGCTTGAGATAACTGAAGGTTATCGAAACCATCGGTTGCGAAACCACCAAGAAAAGGTTTATATGCATTCTTAAATTCTACACCAAATATACGAGTCCAATTATTTTACCGTACAATTTGAAAAAAATAATTTCGCTACGATATCCACATTATTCTTCTCCTCTAACACTAATTCAAGAAGCTTCCCACCTTCTTGTAGTTCTAGGAAAGCGTTTTTAAAATCGTTGTGCGGTATTCTTTATAATATTTTGTGTTAATACATAATATTTTATCATGTATAAATATCGTACAAATAATATAAAATTATCGTACATGTTTCAGATTCAACAAAAATGAAGGGGATAACAACGCTTTTCGCGATACTGCTATTGTCCAGCGTTGGGCACGGCGCAAAATGGTGGCAGACGATGTCTCTCTATCAAATTTATCCCAGAAGCTTCAAGGACAGCGACGGGGACGGCGTGGGAGATCTCAATGGTACATTCTAGCACTCGCAATTAAATATTCTGGAACTGTCGGAATTTCAACGACAACATCGCGGCGTAAAATCACCGTAAAAATATATATCTTTTCGGCCAATGAGAGATAACTCAATATTTTAAAAATGACAAACGAGCCAATTTAGAGGCTATCTTATCGTTGCAATTGTTTCTTTACACTTTCTAAATGCCATTGTTACAGTTATATTAATGACTACACAGTGAGAAACCGAAGGTTTGGTTCTCCGAAAATGAGAAAGGTTTGGTTCAGAGAAGCTCTTATTAAACCTCTTATTAAACCAAAACATTTGTTCGCCCATATCCAAACAAGAATTTAGTCTGATTCGACTAAATGGGTTTCTCAGTGCAGTCACACGTTGTCACGCTCGACATTTCTCAACCTTAATTTTAACAATAAATGCGACGAGCGAGACGTTAATTTTCCCCCGGAAAATAATCGGCGATACTTTCAGACCCGGTATAAAATAGCTCGACGATTTATCTCAAAGGGTTAACCGAAAGTTTCCTTCAAAGGAAACCTGGGAACGTACGAGACCGGGATACTAAGCGATATGGCCCGGCGATCTAATTGATCTCTAGAAGCTTTCGGATAGAAATACACGTTTCTCGAAAGAGCGACTTCTTCGTAGGCGTCAAGAGCAAGCTGCAACACCTGGTCGAAACGAACGTCGAAGCCTTTTGGTTATCTCCGATCTATCCCAGCCCGATGATCGACTTCGGCTACGACATTTCCAACTTCACCGACATCGACTCCGTGTACGGCAGCATGGCTGACTTCGAGGCGCTCGTGAAGGCCGCGCACGATCACTCCCTCAAAATCATCATGGATTTCGTCCCTAACCACTCGTCCGACCAGCACGAGTGGTTCCAGAAGAGCCTGCGCGGCATCGAGCCCTACACCGATTATTACGTGTGGCACAAAGGCAAGGTGCTGCCTGACGGAAGGGTCACGTTGCCGAATAATTGGGTAAGAGTCCGTCGTGAAAACCCGTCGGGGAAATTCAACACTCCGACGTATACCTATTTCTTCAAGATCTTTGAAAAAATACGTGATGCCAAGGAAAAGAATATTCATTCGCTTACGTATTTGCGAGAAAGGTTACGATTAAAAATGCACCATCAGAAATTGGAGTAACTTATGAGAGAAAATTACAAACCAGCCGCTTTGGTAGTTTCAGTGTTAAGGTCGCCGAATTAATCCGAGCCGCCGGAGGCGAATCGCGCGACATGTTTCTCGGATTTCACGTATCCCCTTTCGCGCCCTCCCGGCCGCGCGATCGAGTCGGCTCTTAATTATTATTAATCCGCTATCACGCGGCTCAACTCGACGGGGAAACAGCGGTGATTGGCTGACTGGCGATGCGTTTAAGCCGCGGATGGCACATCGCGACACGCACCGGAAACGAAGTGATTCGCGCGATATCTCCCGTAACGCACCGTGGCGCGGTCTTGGCGGTGTATTCGGATTTACGCGTCCAAAGAGGTGAGATTCATCCCGGGAGGTAATGCGACTGTATAAACGTCAAAGTAACTCATTGTTCTGACGGAGGCGCCCCCCCTCCCACCCCCCGTATCACGGGCGTGTGCATGATGGATCGTTCCAAAACATCTCTCGATAAGCATCAGCAACGCTTCGGAGAGAAAGAAAAAGAGAGAGAGAGGAGCCTCAAGTCGCGAGAGCGCGGGCGTCTTCAATAACGATAAAATTCTCGTTCGCCGATCGATCAGTCGAGAAGAGCCCAGCGGAAAGAAGAAGAAAAAACAAGACGAGAAGCCAAGTCGATCTGCTCTTTCTTACCCGTCGAGAGGATTATGCCTCTAATATCTGAAAAATGTACTCCATGTTGCGTCCGGGCGCGCGCGAGTTAAACGATGATCCATCACCGGCTACAAGCCGTGGTATTTCGCCGGTTTCGAAATTCCACGTGGAACAACGCGCGCGCCTTTAACTCCCCGCGGAAACGCGAAACAGCGTAAAACAGCAAAACGAGCGTTGCAGAGCAACGCCGACATTCCGGCCGCAGCAAAAGCGACGCAAAAGCGAGCGTTTCTTCGACGCGGTAATGTTGCCCGCTTCTAACTGTCTCCGCAACGTCTCCACACTAAGCTCGTGAAGGTATGAAGCGGATGATTGAAATGATGAGGTAATTATCCACACAGGTGAGCGTGTTCGGCGGGCCGGCGTGGACCTGGAGCGACGAGCGGCAAGCGTATTACCTTCATCAGTTCGCGCCGGAGCAACCTGACCTCAACTTCAACAACGAGAACGTGGTGAGCGCGATGAAGGTACGTTCGTATCGTTCGTCGAATTCACGGCCGCAATTAAGTTCGTCCGAGTCGGTAATAATACGAACGGACGGGCTGCTTTTCAATACGACGAGAGGCGATTCAGGTAACGTATATACAGGTGACGTAAGGTAAATCCACGGATCATTCGGACTTGCCGGTCGCGAACGAAACGCGACCCTCGCCCGCCCCGAATCGGTATCAACCGACGACCACGGAGGCTGAAACACGACTCAGGGTTTTTCATTTTCTGCCCAACTTGTAGTTCAAATTTAAACTGACGATAGTGTAAAAATCGTGTCTTTCTGTTCATGCTTAATCAACTGGATGGTTTTGTAGCGGTAAGTTTAATGACCCATGAGTAGAGAAACGTCATTTTCATGATATCATCAGGTTAAGCTTAAGTTAACTGGAAAATGATAAAGCAGGCTTTGAGGGACTTACATGTACCTGGCCGGCTCGGAAAGACGACCAATATTTGAATTTTTTCTGCTGGCTACATTGTTGACTTTATGAAGATATTTTTTTGACGGATGATTCTTTATACTTTTACATATAAAATCCACATCGAAAAATTGATATGTAACGCTGTTATTACTGCTTCCGTGAAACTCGTCATCGTTAATCATTACCCAAAATACCTCAGAAATTGTTGAACCGCTTGATTTAGCTGTAGTTTTGCCTAAATAATTTTAATAAAATTATTTAGTCTTTGTCGTAGGATTTTTTGATATCTATTATAGTCTTCTCTTTTTTATAAATGAAAAGAGGAGAAATTTCATGATGAAAAATCGAACTTTCGACTTTGAATGTTAACGACTTTATTGAAAGTTAATATTTTGAAAATCGGCATGACAAACTTCTGACAAAATGACAAAGACTAGATAATCTTATTCAAAATATGCAAAACTGCAAATCGATCCGATAGATCCCGAGATATTTTCGATATCGATTAGCGATGACAAGCTTTACGGAAGCAGTACATTAGCAGTATACAATAAAGAGAAAATTATAGTATTCGGTGCCAACACTATCCTTTTGTTACTTTAACCACAAAAATAGTCAAGAAAACTATTTTTCTAAGTAAAAGAAAATATCGTTATCACCGAAAATAACTGTAACTTTCTCTATAATTTCCTCTGTAATTAAGCGGTAATAACAGCGTTCCGCATCAACTTTTTAACGGGCTTTGTGTAAATAAAATTATTGAAGAATCGTCCCTCAGAAGAACATCTTCATAAAGTCAATAACATGGTCAGCAGAAAAAATGCAAACATCGCGGCGTTTTCCGAGTTGTTCGGATCGGCCGGTCGTAGCCCCTTAAGACGCTGGAATATGGAAAGGAAAGCTCGTAATTAAACGTCCGCTCGCTCGCTCGAAGTCGCGCGATATCGGATTATCCTCTTATCTCATTGTCTCGGATAACCGTGGCGGAGCAGAGACGGCGGGATTACAGCGTCGTTCGGTGTCACGAGGGTGAAAATAAATCCGAGCTGTACACACAGTCGTGTAACAGCATCGAGTTTTTCCACTATCGACGAAAGAGAGAAAGAGAGAGAGAGAGAGGGAGTTCGACGGATTTTTTTATCTTTCGTCGCGCAGCGAAAAGAAAACACCCCGTTTTTCTCCTATTTTTCCCCTTTTTTCGCGCGCTCCGGATGGGAATTCGCTCGTGAAAATGATTCGAGCGCGCACGGCCACGATTGGAAACGATCGACGACGGTGCGGCACAGGCCGTCGCGTAACGACACGCCGCCGGCCGGCCGGTAATTAACTCGCTGCGATGAATCAACGCCCGTTGAAACGTACAAAATGACGGGCGAGTGTTTTCTCAACGAGATCCCCCGCGTTGTCCCGTTTAAAACGGATGCAATTAGTCTGCCGTTGCGTCGTTCACCGCGACGACGAGCGTGAAACCGTGTCCGCGGAGGCGTCAGGAAGCGGACGCGTAATCTTTCAAAGACGCTCGTAACCCGTCATAACGCTCGCGCGACAAAGCGAGAAAGATGATAATGATGATGATAATGACGATCGGTAATGATCGTTGGATTACACGGTAACGAATGTCCGGCGAGCGTGAAGCGAGATAATTACGATCGATTTAGCGAGCAGGAGTTCGCCGAGCCGGAATAACGACTTACAAACAAATCATTTGCACGTCGCGCTTAATCAAAGGCGAAAGGTCAGCTTCCTCCAGCGTTAAACGGCATAATTATTTTCCTTCTTCCGGACCACGCGATCGGTAGAACGTCGCTGCACCGAGATTTCACGGAAATTTATATTCCGCGAATCGAATCTCGCGGGTGCGCGCGGAGTAATTCGAGGAACAGCGAAATGGCGGAATATTTGGCCGTAATATCTAAAGTTGTAAAGTACGGTCGTACACGCGATAAAATCCGAATTGGACGAACTATGGTACCATGTGTGTGTGTGTGTGTGCGTGTGTGTGTGAGCGCGCGAATGGCTTCGTAACATCGCGTGATGGCAATTCGCGATGATTTTTACGCCGGTGTGAAAAACTTGGCGAAACTCGAAGTCGCACACGGAAGACATACGGAATGCCATTCCCTCTCATTCGGTAATTAGAAAAGCGACGCGATCGGTTCTTCCTTCATCGCGCCGTTCGCGTGTGGTGAAATTTCCCCATCGTTACGCCACGTCGTCCGCGCAACAGATCCACACATGATTTCATATAATCGCATACAATCATATACGGTCGTTTATCCTCCTCTCTCAGCCATTCCCCCGGCTTCAAGTTGGTAGGCAAAAATCGCAGAAGTGGTAATTAAATGTGCACGAAAGCGGAATCACTCCGCTCTTTGTGTTGCGAGCCGTTGTTTCCCGCGCTTTGTTACGACACGCAGCACACGTTTTAATCTACTTGTGGAACGTACACGGGACTTTAGTTCGGGCATACACCGCACTTTGTTTCCCGCAGGACGTCATGAGATTTTGGCTCGACAAGGGGGTGGACGGATTCCGGGTGGACGCGGTGCCGCATTTGTGCGAGCACAAGGATTTCCCGGACGAGCCGCTCACGGGCAATCCGAATCCCAACGATTACGGTTACACGGAGAAGATCTACACGAAGGATCAGCAGCGCACCTACGACACGGTGCAAGGCTGGCGGGAAGTGCTGGACGAGTACCCAGGCGATCGAGTCATGATGATCGAAGCGTACGCGAACATGACGATGACGATGAAGTATTACCGTTACGGGGCGAACTTTCCCTTTAACTTCGGCTTGATCACCAACACGAATTCGAATTCCTCGTCGTCCGACTTCACGGATGTGATCTCCGAGTGGATGCGGGAAAAAGGAGACAAGACCGCTAACTGGGTGGTAAGTCGAACGGATGCCCGCGGCTGTGTGCCGATTAGGCTCCGACACTTTCCTCAGCTATAATCGAGAAACCGTAATCACTCGTCGGTGTGACGAGAATAGAGAGACGCCCGAATCTATCCGACAACCGTGGACGATCCGACGAAGAGTCGTACGAAATAATTAGCTGGGTACTTTTCATTAGGCATCAATCGCGGCCCGATCATGCCCCGACGCGACATCGGACGTCTCTAGTTCAGCTTCTATAGTTCATTTTTCCCTCCGTGATTCTTCGTCGGATCGATGTATTCGCCAGCTTAAACTGATGATCCTGAAATGGAAACGGGGCTAGAATCGTAAATCATTTCAGTGATAAATGATATTTCTCGCGCGTAAAGTATGTTTTTCTCGGCTCCGTTAACGGCTTTTAATTAACTTTTTATTCCTCGCAGCCCGGTATTCTATTTCGAGACTTCGGAATTAAGGCGACCGTTTATTTTCGAGATATGGCATGCGCTTCGATCTTTAACTTACGAGACAATCGGATGTAAGCGCCGCGATTAGAGCAACGCTGATTTGCAGGCCGGTAATCACGACAAGTCCAGATTGGTGAGCCGTTACGGGCCGATTCGAGCGCAATTCGTGACTATGATGATTCTGCTGCTTCCGGGCGTGAGTGTGACTTACAACGGCGACGAGATCGGTATGGAGGACACGTGGATCTCGTGGGAAGACACCAAAGACCCGCAAGGTTGCAACGCCGGTAAAGATCATTACGAGACGGCGTCTCGGGATCCTGAGAGGACGCCGTTCCAATGGGACGACACCACCTCGGCTGGTAGGTCGACGACAACTTCTGAATCGCGAAATAATCGCGAAAATTCGCGGAGTATTAATTCACGGCAGCGAAAGGCAGCCCGAAGATTCGCCGACGAGCGTACGAGTATCGACCGTTTGTGGAAACGACGTAATGTCGTTCCGTAAATGTCCCGTGGCTGTTATCAAATTCGAGGCACACTTCGACGAGACGCAGGTATCGCTTCGAAACGATAATGGCACTCGCGAATAAATTTCATGCATTTTCTTCGGCCGATTAATCTGTCGATAAATAGCGAGAAACCCCATTAAATAACCAGTCACGATAGAAACCGGTTCGCGGCCAGACGAAGTGTGCCGCTTTAACGTCAGTCTGTTTCGTGTCACGAAACGCATGTTAAGAATCAACGTGACGTGTTTGTCAGGTCGCGTGTCAGATTTTGAGATTTCGGAAAGAAAGCGGCGACGAAAAAAATCGACACCTCGGGAACAGGTTGCTCGTCGAACGTGTTGCAATACCACCACACGTCACTTCGGATTTGTCACTTGCAGCCTTACAAAGAAAAGGAGAAGGAAGAAAAACAATTTCACCGACGCTTGCGAAATCGTTATACCATACTATTATACGTAATATGTTAATATTCTGAGTGGGATTGAACACGGCGCAAAGTTCTACCCGATGAAAAATATGCGAAGTGATTCACTCGGTGATTTGGGTTTTTTTTTCCTTTTTTAGGATTCTCCACGAACCCGAAAACGTGGCTGCCGATCAACAAAAATTATAAGACCGTCAATTTAGCCGCAGAAAAGGCACAGAGCAACTCCTATTACGCCCTGTATAAGGCGGTTTCTGATTTACGAAAGTGGCCGGCGCTGAAACAAGGTCCACTTGAATACATACTCAGTTTAGAGGGAATGGAGAATTTTTTCGCATTAAAGAGGTAAAGACATCGCATGTGCACGTATGAGTGCACAGCATAAGTACAAGGACAGAACAAAGGAGGAAGCGCGCTTATCTTTCGATAATTCGCGCGCGTCTTAAAAATTACACATATATATATATATTAAAAATTATATACGAGGTCTGTTCAAAAAGTATCGCGAATTTTGTGTTTCTTCAAAAATTATTTATTTATTCATGAATATCTATTTTGTCCCCTTCAAAGTAATCCCCATCAGATATTATACACTTGTGCCAACGTTTTTTCCAATCCTCGAAACACTTCAAAAAATCATTTTTTGTCATCTTGTTCAGCTCCTCCTTCGATGCCGTCTTTATCTCCTCAATCGTAGCGTAGCGTCGTCCTTTCATGTGCCTCTTCAGTTTCGGGAACAAGAAAAAGTCACAGGGGGCCAGGTCTGGGGAATACAGTGGCTGCGGCATCATTAGTGTGTTGTTTTTGGCCAAAAATTCGCGCACAAGCAACGATGTCTGAGCAGGGACGTTGGTACGAATTTCGCGGCGACCCGCCTCATGCCCAAATCATTAGTAAAAATCGAATGGCACGAGCCAATCGATATGTTTAGGTCCTCAGCAACTTCTCTAACGGTGATTCGACGATTGGCCAATACTATTTTCTTCACTTCATCAATGTTTTCGTCTGTTGTTGACGTGCTCGGGCGTCCGGCACGCTCTTCGTCGTTCACATCTTCTCGGCCCTCTGAGAACATTTTGTACCACCGATAAACGTTGCTTCGGTCCAAGGTAGCTTCACCATATGCCACAGTCAACATTCGGAATGCGTCCGCGCACTTAATTTTGTTTTTCACACAAAATTTGATACAGATTCTTTGATCCATTTTTTGGAATAGGCAAAAATCGAAGACGAGCCAAAACACGTCCAAGCAAAACAGCTGTCAAAGATAAACTGAATATTCAAAATGGCCGAACTTGTCGGCATAAGTGAGGGACATGAGTACCAACATAACGCCACAAAAAAATCGAAAATCGAATATACGTAACCCACGGAAATTCAAAATTCGCGATACTTTTTGAACAGACCTTGTATATATATATATATATATATATATATCGTCTTAAAACTTATATTTATTTATTGATTTATTTATTTATTAAGAAGATATATTTACTTGAGCAAAGTGAAGAGCATACTTCTCGTTACAGGAGAGGCTGGAGGTCCGGAGAGAAATCGGTTTACGCATATTTTAACTTCGACGACAAGGAGCGATCACCGCTGGACGTATCCACCGAGCCACTGAGGGTTTATTATGCTACTACGAATGCTCATTCCCTCATTGGGTAAGTACACGTCCTTCTCGTGCACAAGTACGTTGCTAAATGCCACCTGTGCGCACGTGTGTTAGCGAAGAGTCACGAAAGGCACGCGTGCTTTTACTTAGATATTACTTTTTACGCATCGTTCATACTTACGCCCGTCATTGAAACGTTTAGGAAACGCGTCGACAAAATTCAAGAAGAGAAAATTCCCGCATCGGCGGCCGTGATATACGTCAGCGAGTAAAGCCGGGCGAAAATGTACGGGGGACAAGAACGAGACGTCTTCCACGCAATTCCCATAGTTTCTCAAGACGAAGAGGAGAGAGTACTTCGGTCCTTGGAACGCGACCTGTTCCTGATTCTTGACTTACCGCTTTTATATTCGCACGCATCACGCTGTTACTTTATTTATTAATCTCCCACGCATATCTTATTATAACTGATTACAATTGGACTATCGCGCATAGCTGGGACTGCGTAAAACAAGTAAAACGCCACTCTCGCGGATCTAATCTGAGCTAATCTAAGTGGATCTTATCTGTAAACGAGGCTAGATTAAATGTGTAATTACGACGGAAATTCGTACCATTAAAAAGCAATTTCGCATTCACGTCGAGCTTATTTTGTTTTACCCTCGAATACTTAGCGTACTCGACGCGCTCTGTCGGCGCGAAGATCACTCCCGGGCCAACACCAATCCCGGCCCGGTTGATTCTACCTATATCGAGTATTCTAAAGGATGTTAATCGAGAATTTATTATCCCCTTCCACTTCCCTCAACGTTCGCCGATACCCGAATTATATTAGCCGTACTCGTTCGGACCCTTAGCATGACATAACGTCCTTCGGACCTGGCGATCATTACAACACAGAAGATTCCATAAATTTCCCGCGATATGATCTTTTCAACTACGTCGTTTAATAGCTGTCACGGCAGTAAATAATTGATACAATCGATAGCGAAATCGCGGTATCAATATGGCATTTATTAAACAAACATCGCTTATATCAACTATATTTATACTTTACAACTCGTTAAAATGAATCTTTGTCGAAAAAAATATATCTATATAGATTTATACGAATAATAATAATAATAACTTTATTATTAGTCGCTGCACAGAGAAAAAAATTTCTTGATATTTATAAAATTTGATATTAAATTGTTATTTATATTAAAAGAACCCAAGTCAAACAAACACGCGTATTAAATCTAAAAAGAACTCCCTTCCTCTGTGTGCCATTAAAAGAAATATAATCGGTAATATAAAATAATACAACAACATATAGATCCTCATTGTAATCAGATTTATCGATGCTATGCGAGTCTTTATTTTTGATGTCGCGAAGAAAGTTATATTCAGCAGTTGACACACGGGTCAATTACATACTTATGTCATTACTCGAGCAAACTCGGCGCTCGAGATTTCTTAATAAACGTACGTTATCCGAGTCATACGCGAGAATCAATCCAATCCGCAGAACCGGAGGGTGTCTGCCAGCTTTGACCCGAAGCTTTCAGCTCACGCGGGTATCTATGTGATACTCGGCGCGACTGTGACTGGCATCTGCATCCGTGCGCTTCATAAATCCGACGAATCGCACCAACCGAAACGTAGATTCGCGGTGTCCACATAATCACCGCAAATAGAAACTAGCCCGAAGTGCGCTTGTCGCACGACGGGGACCCGAATTTCAACCCACGGACACAGATGTCCGAATTTCACGGATGACCGGCGAGTGCCCTTGAATTTCCCCATCGGAATATCCCGCGGAATTCGACGCAATCATTAATAACGAAGCATTCTCGCGCGCATTACGTTCACCGCTCTTGATATCCCCTTCGTTGTACGAACGATACTACATGTGACGCGTTGCGTTTTGATGTTATTTGATTGAGTTATGCACGGAGAAAAAAGTTTTTCCAGATTTTGTATTTCTGTTCACTCGACTAAAATTTGTTTCACAGAAACACATACGAAATATTATTTGTTTGTGTAAAAATGTAACGGTCTCATTCAAGAAAACTCGATTATTTAACGAGAAGAACGTTATGAAAGAACATCTTTTAACCAAATAAAATATTATTCGGTTACGATAAATATGTAAAATGAAACAGTTTCTTTATAAGGAAATTATTTTTCGTTTCACACCAATTTTTTATTTAAAGTAAAGATACGTATTCGCTGAAAAGTCCAACAGTCGTATTTATTAATCGAAACATTAGCTTCTTTGGAACATGCCAATGATGAAATCTGAATGCAATAAAATTTGTTAAATGTGAAGAAATCTTTTTCTCAGTGTATTAGCGATGCGTACGTATTCGCATGTACGCACGCTTATTTTCACCAATTTTGATAACTGAAATATACATAAAGTATATGAGATATATGAAATAACTGATGACGCCACTTTATTGAGCGTCTCTATATATTATTTATCTACCATAAATTTATGAATGATCGCCCTTCCGACGACTGTGCTAAATGTCAGAAAGCCGGCTCTATACATATACATGTATACTTCCTGTCTGCTTCCGCTCTAACAACGCGATCAACAATGAGCGAAACTTGCGAACACTCACGTCTCGCCGAATTTCGCGTATCTTGTCTCAAACTTTCATCGCCTCTCCGCTATGCAGTCCCTAACTTTGAAGCCCTTCGAGTGGAAACGGATTACAAAGGTCGCAATTATTCAACGAAACTTCGCAATTCAACCGAGAAGAAAATAACGCTTAAAATATTACCGTTCTCGGAGAATGAAAAAGAAAATCGTTTTTGTCGCGGCGACGCTCCAACTAAAGCATACCGAATTGCGAACGTAATTCTTTTGTAGAATGTTATATTAGGCGAGACCCCGTGTGGAATCCACGAATTTACGGCCGAATACGCCGAGGCGCGAGTTTACCTTTTCGAGAATTAAAATCGAGAATGCCGTGAAAAATATATATCCAGCCGGAGCCGCATTGAATCTCCGATATACTTCTGTTCTTCCTTATCGATCTCTGTTCGCTTATCTGGCGTCTTGTAAAAACGCTACTAGCTGGATAAAAGTCGAAAGATATCGCTTTATGTATGTGCAGCATTACGTACTTTTGACGATCATCCTTCGATTATTACATTTACTATAAAGCTGAAAATGCAATTATTTACAACCGTTTCGCGATTTGTGATTTTCATGTTGGACAAATAAGGAAAAATATCTCACATATTATTCCCTTGCGCCCGATAATTTTACCGAATAAACTATCTCGTGGCAACGCGCGATCTTCTTATTAATGCGGGATTATGCGATGAGTGTCGGGGAGATACGTAAACACCACTCGACCTACCGTGTATTTGCAAAATGTGAATACGAATTCTACGGGAACGTTTCTTTTATAAGTAAGGCGTAATACCACGCATTGTACCTCATCCAGAACTTGTTGCAGAATATAGCTGCGTTGGATTTATGTCCTTGCAACATCATTTTAATGATAATAAATAAGCGTGAATATCACTCATGTGCGCTCGAACGCTAATAAAATTACACTTATCAAGAGACGGTTCAATTACTCACAGGAAGTTCTCGTATGTTTTGTACGAGAATATTTTATATCACTTTATATTGTAAACAATTTTTTTCGTGTTATTAGACATACGTTTGGGAGAAGTTGAGACAGGATGTATGAATAAATTATTCCTCTCGTTCTCAAATAACGGTATTCAAAAGACAAGTGACAAAAATTCCGTCTCACTCGCAGTTCTAATTCGCAGGAATATACATTCCCCCAACCTTTGCGATATTTGGATATCGCAATATCGGCCCACGAGCATCTACGCGTCAGTGATCTTTTTATAATCACAAAAGATAAACATGCAAACATAGAGCGCTGTTACGTAATTCCTTAAACGAGAAATTCTGGAGAGTGACGCGCGCGAGGAAATATTTTCAGGGGGCACTTCTTCATACTCGTAATGCATTTCGTTCACGGCAATTAAAGCGTCATCGGGTAGGTCAATAATTACACGCGCCCCCGGATCGAGCTTTTCTTGAGGAAAAATCGCTCCAGACTTAATTAAAGGGGGGGGGGGGGGGGGGGGGGTCCC